TGGGTTTTAAAGTCACAAAAAAATTACTTCTTCATAGTTTTTGGTATCCAGGAGCTCTAAAAATATAAAAAAGTTTGGACTACTAATAGGAAAAAAATTAAGACTTTTAGGTAAGAGGAACAATCATTTTTTGAACCTGGAGTCCTTAGGTATAATGGCGGCAAGGACTCCAGGACTCTGGACTTAAAAACAATAAGTTCCAAGTCATTAAACCACATAAATTTTTTTCTTATTGCAGATCACAAGTCAACAAACATGTTTAGAGCTTTTAGACACAATAGACCTGGAAAAAAATAGAGATATAAAACCGGAGTCCTTTTGGAACTCCGCATCCCTATAAACTAAATCAAGCCAACCAGTTACTACACCTTTTCTGGATCAATTTAAAAGGAATACGAATCAATTTAAAAGGAATACGAATCAATTTAAAAGAAATACGAATCAATTTAAAAGAAATACGAATCAATTTAAAAGAAATACGAATCAATTTAAAAGAAATACGAGTTAATTTAAAAGAAATACGAATCAATTTAAAAGTACTTTCTTGTAACAGATGCTTTCGAACTACCTCAACTTTACAATAAGGTTTTACATAACAAGAACTATGAAACAGTATATATGAATCAACAATCCAGAATGTATGAGATCTTAAAAATATATCTCTGCCTTATTGTCCAGGGAGCATGTCTTTCAGTGCTATGATGTCTGCGTAGAAAGTTTGCACATGGTTCACAAACTGGAGGCACATGAGAGGTGTAATTTTGAGGCGCGCTTTGTCAATAAGATCCTCCACATATCAAAGACGCCACTCGGTCTGAGTGAGACCATTGTGATTCCCTGCAATGACTTGCTGAATAGTAGCCGCTTCTCTCTTCTTCAGTTCCGACTTAATAACAGACCACGCAGCCTCGATGGGGTTAAGTATCGGAGAATATGGGGCTAAACGGAGGATTGTAGCACCCTGGAACTCCATTACAGCCTCGTTGGCTCTTGCGTGACATGGAGCGTTGTCGATCACCACAACGATATTCGTAGAAGGAATGCCTTGTGCCATAATTTCCAATCATTGCATTGAGCCATCTTGTAACTCCCTCGATGACACGTGAAGTTCATCAAACCCATTTGTGTGAGGGCCCCTATCATGTGCACATTGGCACCTTTACTGGAAGGCAATCTCACCACAGCTCTATTTCCCACCTTGGCTCGTCCATGAGTACATCGTATAAAAAGGTTTACACTGCTCTCATCCACGTACGCTATAAATTTTCCAATGCCCGTAGCCTGCATAAGTTTCTCAAGGAACTCGCGATGAAGGAGTTTGTTGGTTAGCGAATAAGCAGCATCTGGTTGCAGATGAATTTGTTTTAGCGAGAACAGCATGCGGCCATTCAAATGTTCAGCTACGGTCTGGGACGCCACATTCACAGTAAAGTCTGCGAGCAACTTGGCGGTCATTTCTTTTAACGTCAGCTGAGGATTTTCTTCAAGCATGTGGATGAGAGCTTCTTCGTGGTGAGCTTCAATCTTGACCCGCTGTTGAACCCTGCCGCCTTGATGTTTCTGGATCCAGGTGCCCTTCTTCACTCACGCGTACGCTGTAGACTGGTTGACTCCATTGGCTACCGCCACCGATATCCAGTCGTCTCCATTTTCGGCAGCTGCATTGACTCGACGGCAAACTGTTGGCGTTGATTTCTCATATTTGCCCCTCTTGGTCCCCTTCTTAACACCCTTTCTTAAAATTGGCGCTTGACTTAAATCGCCAGTTGATTCTGCATCATTTGTGGAAGTGTCATTATTGTTGTCACGCAAGAGGTTCATCCAATAGCCACTCGATGAAGTCATTCTGAATATGAGAAAAAAAAACATTTTTTTAAAGAGCGCTCTTTCAGTCCTAACACCGTCTGAAAAAGGTCCCTTATTTACGATTTTGGAAAATTCGCAAACATACCCTTGTTATTTCATCCCCTGGCAAGCATTAAGTTTATTTTGTCCTTAACAAGTATCAAGTTTAGCAAGCATGTAGGGCACAATGTTGGTATGAATCATAAAAATAATTCACCGGGATAGTGAGACTTGCCAATGCATTCCCTACTGTATACCTGGGGTAATTTATGCTTAATTAATCTAAAATGCCTCATACAAAAATTCTTGTAAATTTTTAAAAATCCTTTTATTTATGTATAGGATAACATTTCCTTAAAAGAATCCTTGATTTCTTAAATTCTAAACACTTTAAAAATACTCTAAATTTTAAGCTTTTAAATGCCTTATGGTAGGTGTACAGGCAGGCTATGAATTGCTTCCTGGTAAGTATCAATTTAATGTTGGTATGAATCATAAAAATTATTCTGTTTTAACATAAATTCACAAAATGACGGATATTAAAATCAAACATAAATTCACAAAAGTTAATGTATATTCTCCACATAAAAATAAATTCCCACTATGAAGGATATTAAATTCAAACAACCACCTGAAAGCGATTTGTATACTTCGCAATGTCGTCACTTCCACCACCGGTCAACTTTAAACAAATAAGTATACTGTATATTTTCGTTGAAAATAAATTTTTATGCATTCATTTTAAAATTATTTTTATTTCTTTTAAATTGACTCGTATTTCTTTTAAATTGATTCGTATTTCTTTTAAATTGATTCGTATTTCTTTTAAATTGATCCAGAAAAGGTGTAGAGTTAAGGTACATAACTATCAAATTACTTAATATGCTCAAAGGCTTGCATTAGTTGGTCATACAAGTGTTTCTATTTATATCTTATATGTGGTGTAAATAAATGAATTATGTTTATTCGTGTTACTGTAATTGAGCAGTTTTTTTGTAATTTTTGTACTTTTTAAGTATTATTTTAAATGTGAACTTTTACTTAAGTATATATTTTTTTAAAGTAATTTACTTCACTACATTTTAAATCCAGAAGTGGAAAAAGTAAAAAAAGTTAAGTTTTGTACTTAAGTAAATGTACTTCTTTTTGGGTGAGATTTTCTTGAGTACAAGTAAACTTACTGGTAGAAAAGTTTATTCAAGTAAAAGTAAAAAGTAGGTCATTAAAAATATACCCAGAGTAAAAGTTATTGCAAAACTTTTTTTTAACAGGTTTTTAAATTATTTTTTTTTAATTATAAAAAATTTTTAAAATAAAGGATATACTTTCAAGTAGCTTGGTTATGTGGGTTTTTTGGCTTTCAATGTCAGTATCGTCATCAAGATTTTTTTTATCAACTCGAATAGCCAATAATCGAATGGAGCTAAGTCTGGTGAGTATGGTGGGTGGCGAATTATTGTAATTCCAGCTTGGTTTAGACAATTTGTGACAGTTTGAGTTACATGGGGTCGAGCGTTATAGAGAAATTTGAACTTGTGAGTGCCTGTTTTAGGTCTTTGCTTATTTATTTTGCATATAAGAGGTTTTAAACAATTTTTTATATAATTTTTGCTAGTAATGGTGTCTCCCTTTTCAACATAACCCAAATGAACAACACCTGTTGTTTTGAAGAAGATGTAGAACATGCTTTTCGACTGAAACCTATTGCATCTTATTATAGTTCTTGAACTTTCACCTTCACCAACCCAACTAGCGTTGCTGACTTGTTTCCGAATTGTTTCAAATAAAACCACGACTCATCCCCTGTAACAATATCACAAAGCCTCCATGGGCCATTTCTGAAAAGGGCTAAATTTTCCTTACAAGCCTCAACTCTATTCTTTCAATTTTGATCGGTGAACTTTCAATTTTGATCGGTGATCGTGGGGTATCCAACGTGATGTTAGTTTTCTTTTTTTAGTGCATTGTGAATGATTTCATTGATTGTAAAACAATTAATCGATGTTAGGGCTTCAATTATATCATGTGTTGCATGCAGATTTTCTTCAATAATGACTTGCACAGGTTCAATATTCTCAGCTGTATATGTGGTTTGAGGTTGCCGTGAGTGAGGATCATATTCATAAAGTAGCCCACTTCCCAACTGTAATATATTTTGGAGCTTGGTCACCATGAACTAAAACCAATTCATCGCTTATGGCTTGTGCTAAAACTCCAAGTCGAGCACGGGTTTTAATATATGCTTGATATTCAAGTTTTTCTATTTTTCTATTTTTTCTTTCAAACGTATATAATAAAATTTAAATAACTTTTTTAATAAACATATTTTAACAAGTACTTAAAATGTTCTTAATTAAACACAGTTTAAGATGATATATAAATATTTAATTATTTCCTGTCTTATTGTAATTTTATAGATAAAGTTCTACGAACTTCTCTAATGACCCAATTAATACATAATAAAATGTTTTTACTCAGTAATGTATATGATTTAAAATGTAGTGAAATTTCAAATTTCATGCAATAGTCTATTATTTTTCGAAAATTATGACCATACAAAGTTTTAACCCCCCTCAATTTGAGATGGCCATAAACTTTGTACAGTCATAAGAACTGAACACTAAGAGATTATTGCATGAAATTTGTTGATAAATATAAACTTAGATAAAAATACTAAGAAAATTAATTTATAAACTTGTTGCTCCCACGTTAAGGGCTAGGTGGACTCAAAAATTAGGGCTTTTTTGTCCCCAAGCTCCAATCACCGCAACTCTTTGCAGAATATTCTCATTTGACATAAGCATGAAGATACTAAAGTTTGGAGTTTGCAAAATGCCTGTAAGTGTCAAAACTCAAACATCTAAAAATCCAGTGTACACCACTGGTGTGTTTGCAGAGTGAGTTAAAAAGAATTATTACAATTTTATAATTTTTTTTTTAATATTTTACATTTTTTATAGCATCGTCACAATTTTTTTTTTTTTAAACAATAACTTAATTTAAATTTTTTTAAAAGTTTTTTGTGTTTCAATAAGACAAAGAGAAAAATAATTTCAAGAAATCAGTGGGTCAAGGTTTAATTTTTCAACAAATTTTTATTAGACATTTTTAATTACTTTTACTATTGATATATTATTGACTCTCATATCATTTAGATTTATGGATGTATGCCACAAAATTCTGCACATGATACAGAGCAGGTATCAGTCAAGTATATAGCTCCAAAAGATATTCAGCCTTATCAATTTTTTTCTAAAGATAATGTTCATGGGCTTGGTTATTCGGGTATAAATCCTGCTACTGCCATGTGTGGATTTCTTCAGGATCTTGATAAACCAACATTTCGTCCAACAGGCAAAGAAAAAAGAGGAATCCGAGGCCAGGTGATTACTTTATTTGCATTTAAATTGAGTCAAAAAAGTTAAATAAAAACTATGTTAGGAAAAAGTAACAAATAAATACAAATTAATTTTTTGCGAACTTTATTAATTTGCTATGTGATTTTTGCTCATGTTTTAGTCATATTCAAAGAAAAAATGTGGTTATGTTGTTAACAAAATAGTTGTTAATAAATAAAAGTTAGTTATATGTTATAAATAAATTAGAAAAAGTCTCAATGATGTTAAAAGTTACAGCTATGTCACAATTAAGTTTATATAAAGTAATAAAGGAAAATATAATGTAGGCTTTTTAAACTTGCTTAGGTTTTTTAAGTAAAGGGTTTGTAAATTCATAGTAGTTTTGATATCAGTTGTTAGCGATTCCAATGCATTAAAATAATTTAAAATTTATTATTCAAAATTGTAATTTCAAGAAGTCTTAAATTATTTTAGCTATTGAATTGTTTTATTATTCAAAATTAACTCATTCTCTAACTCATTGAGACAAATATGATTTTTTAAAGGTGAGCTTAAAAATAATTTTAGTTAAACCTCAATTAAATGTTGTTGTTTTTTTTAATTTATTTTTATTTATTATTTTTATTATTTATATATATTATTTTTTTTTGTTTAATAATATTTTTTTTATTTTTTTTTTATTTTGTAATTCTGATTCACTCCCAACAAGGCTGCAAGCAACACTATTAAGTTGGAAATTACTAAAAGAAAAAAAAAGAATAGAAGCATTTATTAAATTAAATTAACATTAATTAAAAGAAGAGTTTATTTTATTAAATTAAATTAACATTAATTAAAAGAAGAGTTATAGAGCAAATAATAGGTTGACAAAAGACTTAAAAGGTTGTAGGCTGTATGAGTCTTTGCACTTTTTGATATTTGCTGAACTTAGTTTTTAAATGACTTTTTCAAGATTCTACCTTCACTTTATATATTTTATTTGCATCATACTTAAAGGTTGTCTGTCAAAATGTCCAATAACACTGGTCTTTTCAAAGATACCTGTAATAAACTTTAATCCTACGGTCTTCATAAAAAGTTTTTTTTTTTAATGACCTTAAAATGTATTTTTAAAAACTGATTTGATCCAGTTTTTGCAAATCAGTTTTTTAAAAATTGAGTGAATTGAATTAAAAAGTTTATTCCAACATTCATTCATTCTACTATCGATTCATTTATTGTATCAAATAATTTGTTTTTATTATTCTTTGTTTAATTGTATTTTATTAAATTTTAAAAGGCATTTGGTGTTGGCGTATTTGAAGATGAAGATGATGACATTTATTCAACTGACAAAATATCGAACTATGATGTTATTATGGCTGATGAAGAAGATAAAATTAATCATGGTTGGTCAGGTGCACCTAAAAACGAAGTGTTTAAAGGTAATTCTTTATTGGTAAAATAATTATAATCATTATATATATATATATATATATATATATATATATATATATATATATATATATATATATATATATATATATATATATATATATATATACACACACACATATAATTAATATTTTTATTTTTTAAATTGTTTTTGTATTATAGAAATTAGTTTAAAAGAAAATAGTATTTGAGTATATTAAGGTCCTAAGATTTTTTTTTACCTAAGTGCTTTAACATATGATCTCATATGAAAGAGCATAAAAAAAAATTTGTAAGTTTTCTTTCTTTTTCACTAAATTGTAATAATAAATGCATGCTACCAAAAAGCAATTGCCGAAATCACTGAAAAACAACTCCATTTTGATTTTATTTTTTTACCACTGAAACTCGATTGTTAGTCGTTAAAAATCACGTTAGTACGTCACAACAACTTTAGAATATCTATTTCCATTTTCAAGTAAAAAAAAGTCGTGATTAAATAGTTAAGTTTTAATCAAGTTTTTTTAATTAGTTTTGCAAAAACAGTATAATAGAATTCGGTTGAAAGGCGTCATTAAAAAAAAGTTATTAAGTAATAGTTTTAAATATTTAGAACTTATAAAAAAGTCTTACAGGGCTCGTATTAAGCAATTGCGATTGCTTTTCACACTTCCGCGATTAGTTTTTTCTTTAAAAAAATCTTTCGCGATTTTTTTTTTTTTTTTTTGGTTGTTTAATTACTTTTTTTCTAGCTTAGCATTTTTTTTAGCAATTCTTAAAAGTAATGTTTTCATCATAAAGAACGTCACACAAAATTTATTATTCTCAATAGATAGATGGAAAAGATGATTTGCTCTTTCGCGCGGAGATTTTCTTTATTTAAATTACTTTAAATCTCAACTTGGAAAATTTTTAAAAGGTCGTTAAAGCGAAAAGTTGAAAAGGGAAAAGATGTTTCAATTTTTTTCTTCATTCTAACAAAACAGCCTGGTTTTTATCTTTGTTTATCAAAATGTTTAAAATAAGGCTTAAAAACGTTATAGCAAAAAAATTGCTGACTTTTATTAGCATTTTTATACTGTTTGAAAAAAAAACTAGTAAAAAAGAATTAATTATTATTATTAATTCTAATAATTATTAATTAATATATTATTAGTTAATTCTTTTTTATTAGTTTTTTTATTTCAAACAGTATAAAAATGCTATAAAAACCAGCAATTTTTTTACTTAAACGTTTTTTAACCTTATTTTAAACATGAAGTACAATTCGATTTATTTGAACCAAATTTTTTTGTTTCACTTTTTATTGGAAAACAATTGAAATAGAGAAATTGAATAAAAACATCAACTTAAAAACCATTTAAATGAAAAACTTAATTATATTTAAACTTTTTTTAGTCCTTTATTCAAGAAACAATAAATTATAAAAATGTCGTTTTTAAAAATCTAATTTTTTATTAAGTTTTTGACGATGTTTTTTGATTTATTGACGATAATTTTTTAATTTATTAATTCAAACAGTTTCATTTATTTGCTTCGTTTTATTTTAAACGCATTTTATGTTATTAAACTGTATAAACTGTTTTACATTAATACAAGCTATTTATATTTTAAAGACAACTTTTTGTTTTATTGTTGTTTTATAGCTTTTTATAATAAAAATTAAATACTCATTAAAAACGCGTGTTTTATCGTCAGCGTGAATACGATCACAACAATACGATCCAGGAATTTTTGGTGCAGGATGTTGAAATATTTTTAAATTTTGTACCATGTTTGCATCTCCTTAAAAAAAAGCAAAAAACAGGGTCCTCAATTTCTATGATATTTTCAAGACTTTCAGATTCTGGTGGGGGAGGGAGGGATGCATACCCCCATCCTCTACCTGGATCCGTCACTGAAATATAGTAATATTTGCTTTTTACTCTTTTTTACTTTTACTTTTTTAAGTATCATGTAAAGCAAAAACAATTACTTAATTAATAGTATAAAAAAAGTTACTTGCTCATTACACTGTAGCTGCAACTTAAACTTTAAATTTTAAATTAAGCTGTAAATTATAACAGTAACTTATGCTATTTTAAACTCCGCCAAACAAGAAAATCATTAGATAACATTTAAATATGAGAGATAGTATGTTAAAAGATAACAATTACGTGCTAAAGAGACAATTTTATACTAACGCAAGCCCCTCCCCCCATTACCGCACATCGGCGTGAGCCATAAAATAGAGAGAGAGGGGGGGTGGAGCGGAGCAAAAAAATTTTTTTTTTCGCGATTAGATTTTTTTACGTTAATTCGAGCCCTGTCTTAATTTAATTTCTAATAAAATGTCTATTTAACCTTATCAATTTGAACCAAAAAAATATAGCAAAAGTAACATAAATGTTAATTTAACTAAAACATTTTACAATAATTATTTTTTTTATCAAGCGAAAATGAGAATAACCGTCACTTTTGAAACCATATAATGACTGAAATAAATTTATTTTTGTACTAAAGAAATATTTTAAATAAACTTTCATGTGTCTACATCAATACTCATTTGTTAAAAACTGATTAAAAAGAGTTTAAAATTTGACTTCTATTAATTTTTTGCCGTGGAATTGCCCTTATAACACAAATATATAAATAAAAATTAAAAAAAAAAATTTAATATACAAATATATTTCCACAAAATGCTACAAAACTTATTCTTGTAAGTAGTTATGTGTTAGTTAAAAAAAAAACAACTTTACTTTTAAATTTAATTACCAACTAATACATTTGCAATAATGATATTTTGTCTACTTTGTTTAATTTGACATACAAACGTTAGTTTTTTGAGGCAATAGAGTCAATAAACTTTGGACAACACGCATTTTTTTAAATCGAAGAAAAGCGTTTTTTTGAAAATTAAATTTGTTAGTGTGTGTTCATTATTACGTTTTTGAAAAATAATATACATCAAACATTTTTTTTTTTTTAATTCTCTTTCATATGAGATTATATCTTTATAGCACTTAGGGATCCTTTTAAATCTTTAAAAAATGTCCTTAAAAAAATAATTTTTATTTCAAGTCCTTAAAAAAAAAAATTTTTGTTCAAAGTCCTTCTCAAAATAGATTTGTAACTCTTTTTAAAGTGGAGGAGGAACATTACCTAATAGCATCAGTAGCATGAGCAAAATCAGGTTTTGGTATTTATTGCTTTGGTAAGTAAACCTCATTTGGAGTGAAATGCTTGAGAAAGATATTTGGTAGTGAGTTTTAAAGGTTTTGTAATCTACTGATGTTGTTGCTAGGGAATAAAACAATTATGCTTTAGCCTAATATTGTAAAATAACAAAATGGTTGCAGATGTTTATGAATTTTACTTTCCAGTCTTATTTTTCCTTATTTCATTTATAATCTCTTCAATGACTTTTATAATCTTTATAAAAACAATTAGGTTCATCAACTCTGTTTTTTTTTAAAAAATTGGGTTCTTTATTTAAATCTAACCACAATTAGGTTTATTTTAGTTTGATTTATTTAATTAATTTAATAAGGTTTATTTTAGTTTGATAATTAGGTTTATCAAATAAAAGTTTGATAAAGTTGATAATATTGAAAGCTTCAAATACAACTTCAAATACTGATGGTAATATTCTTTTGATAATTTATAAAAGTAATAAATTTTATGTGGGTTTAGTGTTTGTTTTTTTCCCTCTGGCAGTGAGGCATTCCCACGTAAAAACATCCTGGGCCCTAAGTCTCAGATTTCTCTGATTTTTGCCCCACTCAAGATATTAATTAGTTGTGAATATTCCAAAGGTTTCATCATTCCAATTTGTTTCAAAGATATAACTATGTAACAAAGGTATAACTTTGCTTTGAACCAACAAAAATCTGCCATTTTAAAAAATGGCTTTGGTCTTTGTTTCTGTTCTGTATGCAATGAAAAGCAGAAAATTAATACATATTATGAAATATGAAAAATCGAAGGGAAAAAAAAAAGGTGGTACTCTTAGGTGCTTAATACACAGAAGTTAATGTCTATTCATTTTCAGAAAATTTTCAAACCCACCCTGAGCTTTTTAAGAACCCCTTCCTCTGTTTAATTATTTTTACTTGTTATGATCAAAGAAACAGTATCTCAAAATTAAAAAAAAAAATTTCGGTTATTCTTTTCTAATTTTTAAGACTGGTTTAGATCTTAAAAGTTCGAAAATAGAAACTCATATTTAGAATTAAAGATAAAAAATCCCACCCCTCCTTTTCTTTCCCATCTCTCCCCATTTATTACATCTGGGTAAAAATTTGCACCCATTATTTTATTCCCTCCCCACCTTGTGTTAAGCACCTGAAAGTAACCAATCAAATTGTTGTTTTAACCAATCAAATTGTTGTTAAGTTGTTGTTGACTTGCTTTTTAAATTTTTTTAGTAGTTTTATTAAATGCTTCGTAAATTTTAAAAATTTGTTAAAATTTTACCAAGGGTGAGTTGAATTATAAAAATGCAGATGTATATGCTCTATTTTTTTTTTAAAGTTGTCTCAGTTAATTATTTAGTTAAAATTATCACAATCAATTTGATTGTGGTCTTTCCTTAGACAGAAATAAAAAACATTGTCAAATGTATGTCATTAGTAGATATAATGACATACAGTAACAAGGAAAAAGTTTATAGTAAACACTTATAAAAATACTTATACTTACTATACTTTTTGTTATGCTAAATAAGTTTTGACCTATTAAATTAGTTTTAATCAATGATAAACAGTTGTTTTTTATTGACCATTGGCTAACAATTGGTTGAGATTGATTTAGATGAAAAATATATGCAGTATGTTAGACGACATACTGCAATATTTTTAAATAAGTGCTGTTGCTAATTCAGGAGGTTATGTTTCTAATTTTGCACTATCTTCTTCAATTGTGTTTAGAGTTTTGTAACTAAAGAAGGAGAAATGATTATAAAACATACTGGTCACTCGCACTCAAAATTTAGCATAATAAACTTGTTAAACTTTTTCGACAAATAGACAAATTAAGTTTAATGTTTTTGTCCATATGTAATAAATGGGCAGTAAAGGGAAAAAAGGGGGAAAGAGGTCTGCGGAAAACAGGTGGGTGGAAATTTTTATTTTAATTCTACCAGTGAGTTTACATTTTCTAATTTTGAAAACCTAAACCAGTCTCAAAAATTAAAAAATAATTTTTTTAATTTTTTTATTTTGATGTACAGTTTCTTTGTTCATAACAAGTAAAATTTAATAAACAGAGGTAGGGAGTCTAAATAAGTTCATGGTGGGTAGGAAAATTTTCTGAAAATTAATAAACACAGTCTTCGGTGAATTAAACACCCAAGAGTTTTTTTTTCACCTTTTTTTTTCCTTTGATTTATCATGTTTTATAATTTACAAATTTAAGTAAATTTGACCCTTTTTTTTTCTGTTTAAAACAACCACTCTCCAGTTCTTTCTAACAACTCTGACTAAACTATTCAGGATGACATCTTTAAAAAAAAAAAAGAGCTGCGTCAGCATTTTTGCAATAAAACTTGCCCCAGTAAAATTGCAATATAGGGTAAACTTTCAGGTGTTATGTTTATTTTTAAATGTTTATGTTTATTTTCAAATTTTTAATGTTGTTTTATTGGGTTCCTTGCTTTTCAGCACACAGAACAGAAACAAACACCAGAACCATTTTTTTTAATGGCAGATTTTTGTTGGTTCAAGGTAAAGTTAAAATAGTTATAAACTGTTTGGATTTAGATGATGAAATTTTGGGGTTGTTTATAACTTATTAAAATCATTGAGTGGTGTAAAAATCAGCAAAATCTGAGGCTTTGGGTTGCATTTTATAAAAAAATTAGATGTTTTCACATGGAGTGTTTGCCAGTGTTCAGGATCAATCAGTGGCACTATGCTGGGTTTTTTTACTTTAGAACTTGCTTTTAAAACAAAAATTTTATTGCTTTAGAGTTTTTTTTAAATATTACGGGCTTGGGATGCTATTTCTGTATTTCTACTGCAAAGATATCTCGTTAGTTTCTTGTACTTTCTTTGATTGTTTGTTTTGGATGCTTTTATTACAAATGATTAAATCCAATGTTGACATTTTTGATGACATTTCTGAGCACATAGTTCTTTGTGTGCATATAAATCATTAATAATCCACTTAAAAAAACAACCAGCTAGCAATATCAACCATTTCATTAAGTATTGCTAGTAAAGCAAAACAGTTTATTTTTTTAAACCAAAGTTTTTTGTCATTCTTGCTGTGAATTAAAAATAATATGGTAGAAGTTTATTTTATATTTTTATTCATTGCTTTTCTAAAATTGCAAAGTTGGACTAGTACAATGTGTTTTACACATTTTTTGCTATGTCATTTTTGGGTTTGTTTTTTTACTTTTAACTGAATCATTGTCATCAAATCTCTCTTTATTTTTATATGTTTCAGGTTTTGTATTTGTTTCAGGTTTTGTAATCAAAAGCTCATTATTTTTTTTTTGTAGTTATTTTTTGTTGACATGAAAGCAACAAGCTTTTGTAAAAAGGTTTTATCAACACATTTTGGATTCATTGTGTACTTGGCTTATCCTTTTTTTGACTAACTAATTAATTTAATAAATCAATTATTCACCAATTAGACAAGTAAATGCTTAGGGAGGTTTTTAATTTTTCTTTAAAAAGTTTTACTATTTATATTTATTGTTTATTCATATTACAACATTATCCTCTTTTGTTATGGAAAAAATAACTGTATTCTGTCTTTAAATTTATTATGAAACAGTATAATAGTTGGCTAAAGACTTTGCAAAGAAACATAAGAAAAAAAAGTTATAAATTTTTATTTTAACTAAAACTTCTTAGATTTTTAGGTTGTTTAACTGGTTTCATTGAGTCATCTACTAAAACTGTTATACCTAAACCTAAAAAAATGCCAGAGATACCTCCTGATTTTCAACCAAAACATGTTTTTCTGGATGAAGGGAAAGCCAATTTGCCACCGGAAGGTAAATTAACATCAAAAGAACGCAGTATTTTATTAGGAGAAGTATCCAAGCCAGTCAGTCAATGGACTTTGCGTTGGGATCAACAACAAAATCTTGAAGAGAATAAGATAAAGAAAGAATTAGAAGACAGGGAGGATAAAAAAACAAAGTAAATATTTTTCTATAAGAATAAAAGTAATTGTCAAGTTAATTTTTGTACTTTTTTTTTTAAATAATTAGTGTATACATTATTTGAAAGTAATCAGTGTATACATTATTTAAAAGTAATTGGTGTATACATTATTTAGAAGAAAAATAATTCTATAATATTAAATAGTAACTATAGTAACTATTTTGTTTTAACTATTCAAATAGTTAATTGTTTTTTTTTACAGGGTTCTTCTCTGTTTTTTTTTTTTTTTTTTTTTTTTTTTTTTTTTTTTTTTTTTTTTTTTATTCATACATTTAATAAGATATATCACAAAATTACCTAGGTTTGGTTGCTTAAGCCTTTCATTTATAGGGCGTTAATAAAATATATTTAAATATTTTTTTCTGAAGCATACAGAAAATAATATTGATAATTAAAATTATAAAAATATAAAAATGAAAAATAAAAACTAGTACTCAATATATAATTTCAAATGAAAACATCTACTTTGTCTGAACTTTTTTTGCACATCTTTTTCTTTTTCTTTTTTTTTTCTTTGCACATCTGTTTTAAATGCTTCCTAAAATAAGTAACCAAATTCAACATAGCTATTATTACCTTAGGCCTTGGAATAAAATATGAACTTTTCATTGCAACTGCAAAGTTTCTCAGACCTTTTTGAACCTCTTCAACATACTACTTTAAACTTGTCTTGATCACATTGAAGGCCAGATTCATCGCAGTTAAAAATGTGGAATGGCTTAGTTGCGAATCCATGTATATTGTACATATCAGAAACCTTTGCAAACCTTGATTAAATAATTTTAAAAAGTCATGAAGTAGGTCATTAAAATGTTATAAGTTAGGCAGTTTTAAAAAAAAAAACGACAGTTTTTAGACATTCCAAAGAAATTTAATTTTACCTCTTAAAAATTATACTTTTTTTTTATTAAAAAACAATTTATTATAAAATATATTTATATGTAAACATATAATTTAATAAATACCATCGATTAATAGTGCATGGCTGAGTTGACATTGCACGATTTGACGACATATCCAAAGTTCAGAACAATAGTTTATCACAATAATGTCTAATATATGAGTAATACCAGGCAAAATTTAAAAGTTTGTAAAGTTTGAGTTTTGCATACATTTTTTATATTTTTCCTTAAATGACCAAAGTTACATGGTGACCAAACTTAGGCGATTTTACGAAAACAGAATAGTTGTTTTGTTATTATTTAAATTTTCGCTTTTTTTTAATTTTAAAAAAATTTCCTCTTCCTTTTAATTTTAAAAAGTTTCTTAAAAAATAAAAAATAATAATAAAAATGCAAGTAATTCTAAAAAGCAAACAAATAAAAACGCAAGCAATTCTAGCGACACAAAAGTTCAACAAAAAAGCTACAAAAAAAGGTATGTAAGTAAAAAACAGTCATAAAATCTTACAAGTTGTAAAGCGTTTTTTAAGCTCTAAGGTGATCAAATACAAAATAATATCAGGTGGACAAACTGTATACAATATTATAGCTCTAATGTTTAAAAAATTCCAGTGAATGCAATATTGAACAGAAGATACATATATCACATAGTTATTTGCTGTAAAATTTTTCTGCCTAATTATGTTAATTATGTAATTATGTCTTTCTAATTATGTTTCTTTTAAATCAAATTCTAAACTTTTGTAACTTGTACTTTTATTTACTTCAATGTTTTTAGATTTACATCAAGATGGGATAAATCTATTCATGAAGAGCGACCTAAAGTTGTTGCCGAATCTACCCCAGACTCAAAATCTGAGTGTAAAAGTGATGGCTTGTTTAAACCGTTCTCAAAATTTCCTGAGAAACAATTACGCTATGAGAAATTTCTTGATGCACAAAAGGCTGGCCTTCAACCTCAGCTTGTCTATGATGCGTAAATATTTACTACTTGTTTTTACTTTTTTTAAATATTGAAATCAAAATATTTTTTTTAATGTGGGTTCATCAAACTTTCATAACTCATACTTTAACTAAAGTTGAGCTACAGAATCCATATGTTGTTACATAAAATTAGAATTACGTAAACTTGCTACATAAAGTTAGTATTGTGCATGAGCTGCGCTAAAATTACATAAAAAACTTAAGCAAATCTTAGTCTAAAATCTTTTTTTTTTTTTAATTTGTAAATTGTATTTAGGTCTTGAGCAAATAAAGCCTGTACACGAAAGAAATGTGAAAGTAGAAAAACAACTAAAAAAAAGTACTCTTCAATTTTTATTTTGAACCAAGTTTAATGAAATAAAATAAGGAGATCAAAAAAAAAAATCAAATTATTTCTGTAGGAATCTAATAAAATTTCAACCTTTTTTTTTTTGGTACCCATTAGCTTGCGCACAGAATAAGAATCAAAACTATTTGATGCTTTTTAATTTATATTTTAATATCTTTCATGTTTCTGAACATTTTTTTTGTTTTTTTCATTTTTCATTTAATAATAGCCCAGTACTTTTCAATAGCTCTTAGTTCTGAGCAGCAGGATTTTCTGATTTAGGCACAAATTTCACATTATTTTTTTTTATACCATTTCATAACTAGTTTACAATAATGACTTCAATCAGGTCAGAACACAGGTCTGTTATCGTGTTATTTAATGATAGGTAAAAGACATTTTTGTAAACACTCTTTAACCATAGTCATAAAAAGAATAGTCTGGAAACGCAGGCCGTTTCTAACGGTTTTTATTGTTTTAGTTGAAAATCGGGTGGCCCGCAGGAATAAGGTGCAAAATAAACTTAATGATGGCCGAAGGTTCATATGATTTATTTCTTTTTGAGCACATTGTCGAGTTAAATCAAGATGAGCTTGATGCTATTTTTGCAGTTATTGACCAGGATTTGTTAACTGATGTTGTTGAAAAACAACATGATTTGCATACACCACAAACAACATTTTCATGTCGATTTTGTAATAAAATATGTTTGAGCTCTAGGGGTCTCACTCGTCATACTAATTGCAAACATTCAGATGCTTTATCAGTTCACTCGGAAGTTTTAAAAGATACTGAGAAATCTAAAATACCAGAAGAAATACTTGATCTTCAAAATTTTCAAATATATTTAGAAAAAAGTGTTGCGAAGCTTTCATCAGATAACTGCTTTGAATCAATACAAAATCATTTTAAAGCCTATGTGATTAATTTCGATATATCTAACACAGCATATCAGTTTATTAAACCGGTTTTATCTTTATTTCGAGGAAATGCCGAAAATTTTTATCCAGATTTTTACAAATGTATCTTTGACAACATTGAATCTATTTTTATAGGATTAAATATACAGTGTTCCACCTTACTTGGATTCGAGGTATGTAACCATGTATTGTCACATCTTTCTGGTCAATCAGTTTTAGGTGATTCAATTTTATCTGAAAAATCTTGTGTACTTTCAAATAGAGATCAATCTGTTATTGCCTATCTAAGTGGGTATGTTTTTAGCACGTTATATCGTCGCATCAGGTTTTCAGATATTTTTAAGGAAGAGTATTACCAACAGTATATGTCTATTTTACTTGCTGCCCAATATCAAGGAAGTGATGATTTGCCTGAGCATAAACTTGTGAACACACGTAACAGATCAGGCTTATGGAAAATGAAAATTGAGGCAATATCCATTTTTATTACTGCTGAAACAACATTTAAAAATATGGCTGCAAAGTCTATCAATAAAATTGACAGTAAAGAAATTGTACTAACACTTCTCAAAGACACAAATATTTTATCAAATTTTTCAAAGATCAAAAGTGAAACTGATGTTGTTGTTAACAAAGAGGTTTGTTTAAATGTTCTTGAGGACATCTTGAATTTGTATGTAAGAGCAAGGACATTTTCCTACGTCAAGGATAATCTACAAGCTTATAAAGTTAAAGTTAAACAACTTAAGTCAAAGTCACTGCGAACTTCACTAAAGAAGAAGAGTAATCAAGTATAGGTTGCACATTGGACAAATAGATACACTTACCTGATCTTAATATATCAATTTTTTTAAACAGCTATTTTCATAGCTACAAATGGCTAAAGTATTATGGTATCAGAATATTAATAATAATTTTTTAATAAAATAGAATTGCTGTTTTCATGAAATTACTCCAAGTATACAGGGTAATTTTAAAATTAGTACTAGTAAAATAGTTGTCAATTAAAAGGGAATTTTTGTAAAAAAACAATCATTATTCATGTGGATCCTAAAGCATGTTAAGGAAAGAAAAGGCAAGAAAATTGTGTGAAAAAAGTGTGTGTGTTCAGGGAGGGGGAAGAAGTTGCTATTAAGGTTCATTTAGGCTTTTCTGTTAATAACATCAATTGATTGATGTTATTTTCAAAAATTGTTGATAAAGCGTTTGTATTGTAGTTTTGTATTTAGGGATCAGGGGAGAAGTTTATAAAATTAGATGTAACTTTGTAGGGGAAGCCTAGTAAAGCTCTGTTAGATCTAGGGGAAGCTCTGTAAGTTTGACAAGTTGTTTACAAGAGAGGAGAGATGAGGAAAAAAATGCCTTAATACTGTTGACATAATTAATGGACATTAGGGGAAGGGAAAACTTTAAAATTATTAACCTGTCTTTGAAAGGCTCTTGTAAACTGCCCTTTTTCTTATTTAAATAGAGAAAAACGTTGAATTAACAAATTCCTACAATAAATTTGGATTTTAAAGTTTTGAATTTTTTAATGATAAATAATGCCTGTGTATGCTAGAAGGTGAAGAAGGGTTACTTTATTTATGATTTATTTAAATAGGGGCTGTTTAAATAGTACGTGAGAGTCTTAAGGGGAGGGGGATCAAAAAGTATTACTTAATGTCATAGGGGAGAGGATAGCTACAATGTGATGTGCACATTTAAAAAAATTTAAACTATCATCACAGTGGAATTAGTAGAATTTTTATCGGAAAATTGCAAAATCGGATATATTTTAAGTAAAAATAATGTCACTTTTTTATTACCCCTCCTCCTGCATGCTTAGATCTAGAATAAATTTCTTCCCCCAACTTGTATTAGGCTCCTTAGAGTAAGATATATCTATCAATACAGCAAGATATATATTAAGGGTGTCCCCAAAACGTACATTGCATATCGTTGCATGCTACCTGTTCACTTTGCCAATAATGTGTTTTAATAATTTGTGGCTATGAAAATAGCCGTTTTTAATGAATACTCTATTGTAATGAAGTTTTTACTCGCTTTCTGCATGGTACTGGTTCTTCGTTTATCTCAAAGTCAATATCTTCATAGGAATTTCCATCTTTTATTGGTCTGAATACCTTTTGATTTCGAATAGTATTATCGTTGTAGCCAAAATCACGGACAGATGGATTATCCTTGCGGGAACCGATTTGGCGTTGATGTCCAAAATAATTTTCAAGGGGATCTTGACAAAATCTTTCTGTCAATACATAAGATACACCATTAGAGAGTAAAAATGTTATCAACTCAACAGCAGAATTCACTGTAATTTTAATTCCTTCATAGGTTTGCCATGATATAAACATTTTACCTTTGTCATTTAGAGTAAATTTACCTTGACGGGTATTAATTGAACTTAACCACTTTTCGAAATATGGCAAAAATTCTGCTTTAAGCCAGTTCAAACGATTGTCATCAAGAGAAGAAAATGGAACTAAAAATGGTTTTGACTTTTGAATTGATTCATAAGGATTACTAATGTTCATAATATCAAAAAAACTGTCAATCATTGAACAAAAGTTTGCTGTTGCAAATGTATCTGGAGATCCATAGTTAAGAAGGACTTTACTTACAGTAGTGCTTAGAACTTGTGCTGCCAATTTGACATTCATAACAGAATAAGATGACAATTTAATGTGGTCATACGATAATTTCGGGAGTAGATGTAAACCACATATTTGATCTTCTTTAAAAATGTCTGCGATGTGACTCCATAGAATGTATAAACCATCATTCCACATGTATCTAGTACATTTACCAGAGCCTGAGCTGTAAATACAGTTTCTTGTTGTTTTTAGAAGATGTGGAGGGTCAGCTATAAAGTAAATATACCTTTCAGGACAGTATAAATTTATTGTTTTATATGTGAGAACTACATCCTGTTTAACATTCGAATTAGATAAGCGTGAATGCATTTTAAAAAATTTTCTGTTCGAAGAAGCACCATCGCAAGTTGTAGCCATAACTTTTAACTTGCATTCCATTTCACAAATACCAACAGCTTTCCAAAATAATGGAAAAATTTGAGCAGATGATATTCCAAGCGTTGCAAAATTAGCTAGTGTAAACTTAAAAGGGTTAACTATACTGCGAATCATAAACACAAGAACATGAGTGGCTACAGCATCAATTTTTTGTAAAGTTGCGTAATTTAAATTGATATCACCAAGGTCAACAAATCCTATAATTTCTCCTGTGTGTTTATCCCATACAAGATTTTCTTGAATTTTAATCTCATCAAACAACAACACAATATACTTTTCTACATCACTAAAATCTTTTACTTTTGATTTTAACTCTTTAATAATATCTGGATTAAAACCACGTTGAGGATGAATATAATTCTTGTAGTCGCGAAGACGACGACGGCTTGGTAATACAAGAAAACCAGTACCAGACTTTTTATCATAGCGAATATCCTCGTATGCACTAGGAGACTTTGCACAAAGACTAAGGCAATACCTTATAATCATCGGATGATATCGCACAGATGTTGGATTTGATAAAAGGTATTTTTGCTGCTCAGTCCAAAAAAATTTCATAAATGGTGAAACACTGTGTAAATCAAAAGCATTTGACATTAGATTTTTTATGTCGCCATCAAAATCAGAGGTTACTCGTAATGCATTTTTTTGAATCTCATCTTGCATACTTTTCATTTCTTGTTTCAAAATGGCATTTTCAAATCGATAGCTT